GGGCCGAAGTTATCCAAAGAATTTATGGTGAAGTTGTGGTGAAATGAATTCTGTTTCCAATGAACACATGAGCAACTAAAGCCCTGCGCAACTTTCACGACAAGCAAAATCAAGCAGCTCAAATATCACCCGAAGGAGCCAGAAGGATTCAAGGTGGTCGCGTGCAACCTCTTCAGCTGTACACCAAACAAACTCCATGCATTCGTAATTGCCAACAAAGAACCTATACTCACACTGTTCACACTCCTATGCAAGATCATATTGAGCTGATACCTTACCGGCGCAGCATCTAACCAGTCTAAAAATGAACATATTTAGCTATATATTTATTTATTGCTGGCTTACTCAACTAACTACAAGTGCATTCGATGAGAATCCGACTGAGGTGATGGCCACCGTGTCGTGTGCCCCAGCTGTCCAATTTGCCCCTAACGAGACCCCTAGTTTCTTACTGGACGTCGTGCAAGTCAATACCGAGCTTCTATCCCCTGTGTCCAACAAAAGCATTAGGAAGAGCGTTAAGAAAGTCCTTAAGGCCCCAAAAGGCATGAAGGTACAGAACCAGTAAAGGTATTGGAGGTAGAGCATAAAGCTCCAAACGCGAGTCCCCCAGTATTTTGGCAAAGAAACGAGCCTTGTGGACTTCTACAAAAGCTGACAAACTTCACCGGGGAGGGAGTTAGAGTTAAAGCACTAAGCCTCAACCTCAACCACTCCGGCTCCCTTGTCGAAGAAACGCACCGTGTCACCGGTTTTACCGGTCGAAAGTTGAGTCAAGTCGAAGGCTCATCGAGTGAATACGCCTCCCCGAGGTGATACTATACTGATAGTAGCGTTACCTTCGCATCGTTGCTAAATCAGTGACAGCTCTTCCCATGGAACGTGTGCTGTATGACATTCAGTGGTTCAAAATCTGTGTCGACAAAATGCTTCCACCTGGTTTCCTCGGTGGCGCTCTCGGGAAGCTTACCAGATTGGGGTACGTCCCTGTCGATACGCCAAATCCGCCACCCCGGCTACTGCTTGTAGTTTGCTAAATAGTTGGAGGAAGGCTGTTTGTAGGGGGTTCTAGTTGATGTAGTTTACTTGCTCGCCTTCGATGTCCTAACGGCCAATATGTCTGTGAAACCATTTTCAGCTTTTAATCGATTGCACTTAGGATCCTTTATCCAGGCTTGTCCCCCTTGTCTTGTAGGGAACAAAGTGAAATTGGAATGCTTTTTGTTAGTGGGTAGAAGGTTATTGCAAGAATTACTGGGACGAAGGCTTCCGGAATGTCTGCTTAGCTTCGCTAAGTTTTTAATGCAGTACCGCAGAATTAGAGGATACTTGATCCTCACTTAGCTTGTCTTAAAGCATAAGATCGGACCAGATTTGTCCTGGCCATTGAGGCCCGCCAAGCCGCGTAGTCCCCGAGATCAACTGTTAAAGCTGCACAGCCTGCGTTCTGACCGTGTAAAGACGGAAACTCGCTTGTCGCGTCGGGGTATTGAACCTTGGAACTGGATTCCGGAGCACTTAGATACAGAGTCTACAGTGGAGCTTCTCGAGCATCAGTTAGGTACCCTTGGGTAGCAGTACCAAATCTTTCCCATTTTACTAACCGACTTGTATTCTCACCCATCTGTTCGGTTTCAATTTCTTTTCCCACTTTGGTATTATCAGTATTTAGCTGCTACTCCTCCCTTTTTTTCTTAGCTTTCCCTTCACTCTTTTACTTCACATGAACTGGTCTGGCAGGGTCCACTGGGACAGAACATTTGCACAATAATTCGAATTCAAATTGAGGTGGGACCGGAACAGTAGGAAAGTCCCGTGAATGTTCCACTCCGAAACCCTCGTTGATCCAACCTGGAATCCGGTGCATATATTTGCCAAGGAAGAGGCAACTTAACACAGGATTCACATAGCCGACCAAGCAATGCCCACGTGCCCTACACTAGCAGTCCCCTCTGTGCCAGCCAAGTGAAGAATAAAAGAAAACGAAAGGAAACAAAGGAGAAGACAAGCTTATTGCAGCTAGTGGACAATGGCATGATGCAAGTTAACATACGTTAGAGAAGCTTAGGCCGAGATTGGCAAGCGCAGTTTAAGGCACGAAGGGGGACATTGAACTTCAGGCGGAGGGCGACAGGTCGATGCTAAAACTCTTTCACTTTCGGTGCCACCACGATGTCTACAGACAGTGGCTTACAATAAGTTATGACCCTACGTGATAACCGAAAAGCTGCCCAAGCGCAGTCGTACCGGGGTTTGTGCAACATTACTGGGTGAGTACGAAGGAGTGGAGCTCGCGTTGTGCGAAATAGTCCAGTCAAATCAGGACTAACCTGGCCCAACCGTATACGATATGTAAGACTCAAGTCGCCCCGAAGCCGCCTGCAATACATTGGTAACATCCAACTTACGTAGCCTCTCCGGGTACGCCAGCTTCTTTAGCCCGTGCAACAACTTGGTTTCAAACTGCAGGACTGGTTAAACTGCCGCCTTATCAAGAACCGGACACAGAAAACAAGCCTGAACGCAGTGTTCCAAGTGCGGACTTACAACTGCCGAACGTCGTATTGCGAACAGTTCAGTCGTCATGATCCCGTATGACCTGAGGATCCTCCAGAACTTATGGAAACCTTTGTGAGCAGCAGTCGTCCAGTGTTCACTGAACGTAAAGTCTGATGACAGCAACACACCAAGGTCAGCTTGGAGATGAATTCGTGGTACCATTGCCGCCAAGCAAATGACTCATCGCTGGGTCATTCGGACCATCGCGTAAAACGGAACATTTAGCAACAGTAACGGGCAACTGCCACAACATTTACCAGTCCAAAGTTATATGCAGAGGCTACCGTAGGGTCAGCGAGAAAATCAAATCGTCTATTGCAAACAAGAGTTGCAAGTCACCTGCAAACATTAGGGATAGCACTCCCAATTCATCGGGTAGACCATTAACGTGTAAAATAAAGTCGAGGGCACCAAGGACTGAACCTTGCGGGACGCCACTGAGAACACACTGACGGAAGGACAGGCTGGAGCCCACCCGCACTCTAATTTCCTCTCCGATTAAGGAAGCTGAACTGCATCGGAAGACTGGTCCAGAAATACCGTAGGAGTCCAGCGTGTACAAAAGACGCGGATGTGGTACGGTGTCAAAAGATTTGGCATGGTCAATGAACAGCGCCTCCGCTGCATTCCGGCAACCAACGGTTTCGGCACAGTTTTCGCGAGTCGTTAACAAGTGAGTAAGGCAAGAATGGCCCTTACGAAAGCCGTGCTAATAAGGAATAAGCAATGCAACCACTCTCAAGTGTCATACAAGAGCGTCGCTTAAGTGGTTTTCCAACAACTTGATCAGCACGCTCGTCAAACTGATCGGCCTTTAGTGAGCAGGGAGGTGTTTTCATCTTTCGTAAAATGGGACAAACGATAGCCTTCTTAAAGTCAATGGGTAGGGAGCAGCTGCATAGAGACGTCGCAAAACGTTATATGAATGAAGGGCAAAGTTCATCAGCGAACTCTTGCAACAGCTTGGGACGAATGGCATCTCCACTGGCAAATTTATTTGTATTTAATTTCCTAAGAAGCCGGAGCACTTGAGTCTCCGTTATGAAAACATTCTTAAGAAGGAGGTTTCAGGAACTTTTGCCTGCCAGCTGATGTGCGGCAGCTACGACTCTCGCACAAACACCCCGGCATTCTGTTCTCCGAGACAACACGCTTTTTCGTGATCCGTGACAGCAACTGTGCCGTCAGAGCCAAACAACACTGGGATATACGAGTACATGTTGCTTCGCCTTCTGACACACGCAGAGAGACTGTTTGAGTTCTGTTAAGGCTATACGAGCAAGTTTTACTTAATGTGCTATTAGAGCCCCTCGTAGTTGCGGCCTACAGGCTTTTCGGCCCTCTCGATAGCGTATGCATGTGCACGATGAAGGAGCAAATAAGTAAGTACGCCAACACATGGCAGTCTGGTAAGTTATTTGCTGACCGCAGAATCATACCAGGGTGGCTTAACCCTAGTTATATTCTTGTTGGACAGTGGTATACGGGGAGAGAGAGCTCACCCGAGAATGATGAAAATATCACCCAGGCAGTTTGAATGTCGTCACTTTCCAAACTGACGCAAGGCGACATTGCGGCCTTGGCATTCATATGTCTGGATTTCGGTCGGGACGCACAGGATTCTGACGACTAAGTGCGCACTTCTTTGAGAGACACGCATGGTCGCTAGCACCGTGCGTTTGGTTGTATACAATATCCGTGACAAAATTAATAAATTTGGTGAACATCAAGTCCAAGAGCGACGGGTTTTGACCCATCATAAATCTAGTGGTTCGATCGAAAAAGTGGTGCAGGAAAACATTCAAGGCCAGCCCTAGAAACTCGGTGGCCGAACACCTAGTAACAGCGTCGCAGGAAAAATTCTGCCAGTCATCGTCGGGAGGATTACAGTACCCTATCAATAAACCCATATTTGACGAAAGTTCACGGATGAAAACAATGAGACCATTAGCACCCCTGTCTGGGTTTTTATAGACCAACACAATTCGTTGCACGTAGGCAATACACAGGTTAATTGTGATTACCTCGACAGCACCGTCTGATGATCGGAAACCATAAGATATAAAGACAATAAGTAATTGGTCGGACTGGGTGTAATGCCATCTTGGTTTTAGGCTTTACTAAAGCTCATGCAGACCTATCTATTCCTGTTCCAACGATACGTAACAGAAGGAACATTCACGGGATTATCCTATAATTCGCGTCCCAACTGAATTTGAACTTGTTCTCAATGATAGCTCCTCAGCTAACGACAGTGACAATGCGCCGTTGTTAACGTTACATAAAGACAGTAGAGTACGACCAACCTGTTTTATTAATATACAATAGAGCAAATGTTATTTTTGGTTGCAAGTGCTATTTGTTAAGCTAATGAATTAACTGCGACGACCTAGTTTCGGAGCGCACAACTTGCGTTTTGGCGGTCATTTAAAACTCCTAGAATGGACCGAGCTCCTCAAGCCTATGAGACTACATACGAAACTCGGGCTGAAGTTGTAGAAACTACAACTGTAGTTAACGTTTCCTTCGTTAAAAGTCTGGGAGGAATCCTAAATTATGTGAAGTTAGTCCATTGTTTTTTGCATTTATAAGGTTTTCGGAATATTCTTTCCACATTTCTTTTGAACTATATTTGTCATATACAAAAATTTCCTATTTTCCTTATATGCTGTCAGAACTTCTAGGGTCTTTTATTAATGATATTTTGAGTGTACGTTATTTGATTATTATTGTCTACCCTGTTGGCATATGTGAATAGTGAACTTCTTTAGGTCTGTGGGATTCCGGTCGCTCATAGAAATGCGGAGGCAAATAGGAGTCGAAAGTTTTTTTGTTATAAATATATATATATATATATATATAATGATACAGCCGGATACAAAGGTTGTTTTCCACTACTCCTGTCTGGCACAGATGGACAGCCACCCGTTTATTTGGGCGTTTTTTAATCGATTCGCAGAGGCTAACAGTTAATATGAAAATAAACGACGTGATCTGTCGCAGATATGCTTTTAACTAAGATCTGCACCTTGTTTAGCACCCGTTCTTAGCCTAAATGGCGTGACTTTTCAAGCAAATCGTAATTTCAGTCGGCGCGAGTGACCTTTGGAGCTCTCTGAGTGAACCCATTTTGTGCCCCTGGCTCTCCTAATCGGACACTTTTTGGACGACTTGGTCACTCGGGGATATTCTCCGTTTTGCTTAACGGTTATAGTACTAGGTATTTACAATTTAAGACCGATTTCGGCTTAATGTTGACGGTTTTTGCAACTAAGGAAAAATGCATTCATGCCACATTGGTAATGGTGCACTGGAAAAACATTCAGGGTGGGCATAAGTCGTCCAAACAAAGCCCAAGATGGGGCGGCCAAGGGGCAAAAAATCAGTCACTGAGGGGTGCTCTAGGCAATCACTCCAGCGGATACTTTTTGGTCACGCTTGTGGACAGGGTTTAGCGTAATTTGGAAAACAGTGTTTTACAAGGGTATCGTGCCAAAATGCTTCCTGTCCTTCACTATATTATGTACTGCTCTATGTATTAGGCACTAAATTTACCTCAGTGTGTGTCAACACCGGTTGCGCTCAAAGGCCCGCGACGGGGTGACCCTGGTGACAGTACGATTTATGAAACCGTTGTACCCTCAGATCTCTACATTCTTCATTTCTAATTTGTACGCCTTGTCTGTCGATCATCGATAAACGTTAACTGATGTTGGCCGCCTGCTTGGGGCGTCTTCTTGTCGTAGATAAAACAC